ATATAACAAAGCCTTAATGTTATTTGGTTTGTGCTTGCCAGATTCGTAGATGCCTATGAAATAGGTTCAATTCCGAATTGAGTTTTCTTTTTAACTCTACTTTGTGGGGGTGACAGAGTAATAAAATAGCTGATACTTCAGCTGAGCAAGCCCGGAAAGGGAAAGACATTCAGGGTATTCCTTGGGACAGGCTTAGCATCACCAGAGAGAAATACAGACAAACTAGACTTCAACAGTATAAAAACTACGAAAATGTCCCTAATTCTGGTGATTCCTCCGAGAAAGTATGTCTTCTTCTTCTTCTCATTTTCTCACCCTTGAGCTAGTGTTTCGTTAATAGTATTGGTTTCCACTATTACAAAACATGTAATTTGCTTCTCAGGATTGCATGGTCACGCAGAAAGGAGCCGCTTTTTATGATTTCTGGCGGAATTCAAGATCTATCAAATCAAGTATCCTTCATTTCCAGGTTACTCGTCAAAAAAAACATAGCTATTGTTGTCATCAAAAAGTATGTCTTTGGTTAGCGAGGACGTGGACATCTAATAAAACTCGGTTTCTTTTTGTATTTGCAGTTGAGGAATTTGGTTTGGGCAACCTCTAAGCACGATGTCTACCTTATGTCTCAATTTCTGGTTAGCCACTATTCTACTTTGACATCTGCAAAGCATGAAGTTCTCAATGTTCAAGGTCATGTTTCCCCATCCGAGGTTTGTTTCTTCTTCCAGCATCATCTAAGGTTATTCTATAAACATCTACATCAGCTATCTCTGTGTCGTTGCAGAAACATCCTGGAAGTTTTCTGGAGGGATTTACCAAGACTCAAGTGAGCACACTTGCTGTGAGGGATAAGTTTTTAGTTGCTGGCGGATTTCAAGGAGAACTTATATGCAAGGTAAACTCTGGAGTTTTACGAATCATGGATTTCACATGCATGCAATCTTTTTTCTTTGGGTCAAAACACATACATGCAATCTAATCAACTGTTTCCACATTGATAACTGATCAGCATCTTGATAGACCTGGTGTGAGCTTTTGTTCCCGTACAACTTATGATGATAATGCTATCACTAATGCAATTGAGATTTATAACAAACCAAGGTACGTTCTTGTCTTTTGCTCCATGTAGTTTTTGCCAACTTACAGCTTCTAACATACCCTTTGGCATGTGGCTGTTTTTCTGCAGTGGCGCGCTTCATTTCACCGCCTCAAATAATGATTGTGGAGTCAGAGATTTTGATATGGAGAGATATCAGCTTGTTAACTATTTTCGCTTTCCTTGGCCGGTGAATGTAAGTCTCTACTCGTTCCTTGATTCTTTATTTGCTTTGGCATAATAAGCCTATCTGTCACACTTGCGGTAGTAAGTTTTGAGTAAGAACTACCATATGGATTGAATCTTACATCTGTTACATTATGGAAGTGTTAATATAGTTTTATCCATGAATCATTTATATAACGAAAATGGATAATTTTTGTTGTCAGCACACATCTCTGAGTCCTGATGGTAAATTACTGACGATTGTGGGAGACAACCCAGAGGGTCTTCTCGTAGACCCCAACACGGGAAAGGTGCTGACACTATCTCTTTTCAAAAGTCTTTCTAATGAATAAGCATTTTCTTTTAACTCAGTTGGAAATTTCCGACAGACACTGGGAACACTAGCAGGACATTTGGACTTTTCCTTTGCATCGGCATGGCATCCAGATGGGCTCACTTTCTCGACAGGTAACCAAGACAAGACCTGCAGGGTTTGGGACGTACGTAACCTGTCCAAGTCTGTCGCTGTCTTGAGGGGTAACCTTGGAGCAATCCGATCCATCCGCTACACATCTGATGGGAAATACATGGCCATGGCTGAGCCGGCTGACTTTGTCCATGTGTACGACGTGTCAAAAGGGTATGAAACAGAGCAAGAGATCGATTTCTTTGGGGAGATCTCGGGAATATCCTTCAGCCCTGACACCGAAGCGCTCTTCATCGGTGTTTGGGACCGTACTTACGGTAGCCTCCTTGAGTATGGCAGGTGCCACAACTACTCCTACCTTGAGTCATTTCTATAATCATTTCGACCCTTCAGAAGAATAAAAGAGCTGCATTCTCCCGTGGCTTTGTTAACCGACAAAAAAATAACATAATAGTAATAATCAAATCTCTTAGTGGTGTAAATGATGTGTTGTGCAAGTACTAGGATGTCACAGAGAGTCGATTTAGTTAGCTTCCGAGTGTTGTTGAGGTTCGTGTATGTGTACAAAAGTGTTGTATTTCAGTTTTAAGTTATAAACTCTTTACTCTGGCCAGACCAGAAACAGACAACCCGGTTCCAGTGGTTTATAAAATGTTTAGTGGATTAAATCGAACATGAAGAAAGTTAAGTAGGGGTAAACTTATTAGGGAGTAGAGAATTGTCGAAACTGTGAGAGCTTTGACGCAAATATTTGAATGTTAAAGTACAACTCTTTAGAAACAACTTCCAAACTATCACAAATACTTGACCGGTGTTGAATCTCGTGGATTAAATCGAAACAAAATAGAGTAAGGCGCTTTAAGGAAAACAGTCTAAAAGCAAGGGGGGCATTAAGACAAAACTATTTGCCTGAAAATCTCATAATCCAAAACGCACCAACAAGAGAATGCCACGTCATCAACCAGGGATCGTGTCCTCACAAACAAAATCTTGTATCGTCTACTCCAAGAAGCCAAAAGCTAAAGAAGATCATAAATCCAAAACCACTCATTCTCTCCTGCACTAAGACTCTCCAAAAGAAGAAGAAGAAACATGGCGACAAGCGCATCTGCTTTGCTCACACCCACAACAACCTTCTCCACCACAATCTCCCAGAAAAACCCAAACTCAATCTCCTTCCACGGCCTCCGTCCTCACCGCCTCGGTAGCTCCTCCTCCGCCTTACCCAAGCTATCCACCACCTCCGGGAGAAGATCTTCCTCCGCCGTCGTTAGAGCCGAACTCAGCCCATCCGTCGTCATAAGCCTCAGCACTGGTCTCTCCCTCTTCCTAGGGCGGTTCGTCTTCTTCAACTTCCAGAGAGAGAATGTGGCGAAACAGGTTCCGGAGCAGAACGGGAAAACCCATTTCGAAGCCGGTGATGATCGTGCCAAGGAATATGTAAGCCTCTTGAAATCGAACGACCCTGTTGGGTTCAACATTGTTGATGTTCTTGCTTGGGGTTCTATTGGACACATTGTTTCTTACTATGTCTTGGCCACTTCTAGCAATGGCTACGACCCAAGCTTCTTTGGCTGATTCATTCAGTCTCTGTCTCGTTTATGTATGTGTGTTTGACTTGTATCGCAAGCTACCTAGTCTATTCTCTTGTCTCTGTTTCTTCTACCATTCGACACATTGTTGTTATTGTCTTCTCTTTTTTCGGTAAACAATTGTTATTGTCTAGGGCATTCTATCTTTCGTTTGCAAACAACATGAATATATTTCGTGATCTAAAAATGGCTGTTTAGGTGGTCTAAAGAAAGACTTTTGTTATATCAAGTGCATCAGAATTATCGCTTTTAAAGAACAAATCAATGGCTAAAATAACTAAGGGCATGATTATTGGTAAGACAATAAAAAAGTCCTTAGCATATTTTACTAATTTTTTTAAGTTTGGGACAAAAGGACTTTTGTAAGTTTGTAGATTATTGGTAGGACAAAAAAAGTCCTTAAAATATTTTACTTCAATTTATTTTAATGTTTGATAATAAGATATAAAAGATACATTGCAAATAAAACCTCATGAACAATCCTGTGATATACTTGTGCAGATTGATATACGCACTCACAATCCTATTAACCTCATGAACAATCCTGATCAAACGAGTATACGCTTGCATAGGACTCATCCTCAACTCACAAATCAATCTATCAATCTTGTTAAGCACCAAACAAGGAGTCAACTTCTCGATACAAGCTTGACGCAACACAGCATGCGTCTGAATTTGTACACCTTCAACAGCATCAACCAAAACCAAAGCACCATCACTAAGCCTAGCAGCTGTAGAGACTTTACTACAGAAGTCCATGTAGTGATGAAACACGAAGAGTAATACACACATGTATGATGCAAAGATCTCATAAGCATATTTCTGGTGATGAAACACGAATCAAACATTCATAACCTTAATAATCATGTCAGGGAACTTCTCAGCAAGATCTCAATGCTGGTACCACTCTTTTTACAGGCAATTATCAACTGAAATAGGCAAAGAAAAACGTTACAGAGATTGCTGACTAGTGTAAGCAAGATCATGCCTAAAAGTAGAGATAAAAGCAATTACTTTAAACTTAAAAAGAAAAAGAAAGCTGCATCAAGGAGATTATCAAAAGAAAGAAACTTTGAGTTAGAGACACAACTCTTAAGTTAGAGAAAGTGTTGTCATTGTCCTATAAAACACAACAACTACAATTTCTCATAGAATAAAGAGAATTGTGATATTGAAATCAGAAGTGATATTGATAATCAGAAGTAGTATTGATAATCAGAACTGGCTGTACTCTCGCCTTGTCGCCTATTATTCAACGGTTACGTGTTTTGTTACATGTGTTATGAGTTTTGATATCATAAGGATGAGTTGTGTTTTACCTGAGAGAGGCTATAGGTATGAGAGATGTGAATGGTGATCAATCCTCTAGCAAGCCATGACAGTAACTCTCTGATGGAATCATCAAGAACACTAGGTAGGTGGATTTTGTAGCTTCCCCAATAAAGACCATGAACCAAATGAACCGAGGCATCTTCTCTCATGCCCCTATCTTTTTTAAGCTAATCTCTTATGCGCTCACAAGATCTCTTATACTCCTATTTTATAATTCTTTGTTTTGATCAAAACCAAAACCCCCAATTAAATCCTTCCCGGTGCTCAAAACTAAACAACCCCCCCCCCCCAATGGATGGGTGAACCCATGGACAAATATTTAAATTCTATAGCTTTCAAATTCGGAAAAAAAATATTTTAAAATAGTTTTTAATCATATTTTGATGATTTTCGTGAAAATATGAAAAAAACGTTTTTTGAATTTTGAAATATTGTTATCAAATTCTATAAATCAAATAAAAAATATTCACGTTTCCAGTTTAATTTTATGATTTTTTGTTTGACATATAAAATTAACAGAAAAAATGTGTCATAGAAAGATTAGAGAATGAGAAATATGGGCATGAGAGGAATTGCCTCCCATGAACTGTCCACTTCTGCCACCAAGTTGTGTTAGATTCTCATCTAGTAACTTTCTATCTACTAGACAATCATTTTATTTACCTTAACAAGAACTATATTAGCAGGAATTAGAGGTACTTCACCGCTTGCAAAACCAATGACCAGAAACTGGGCTCCCCAGTTGAGAATTTTCATAGAGTCCTTGGTGAGTTTCCCTCCAACAGGATTATACAGAACATCAACAACGACATAATCTCTAAGCGGATGAGGAAGACATACATTTTCGATTGAAATCGGTGGAAAAGCTTTTGGTGGGACAATGGATCGGTGTTGAGGGAGCGAAATACCAAGAAGATTTTGAAATCGGATGAAATGGGTGGGACGATCTCTGAACTCTTTCGCCGTCGAAAGAGAGAGTCGGAGAACATGCAACTGATTTTCAGACGGCAAACGACATTGCCCTACACCACTTCTACACCCAATCGCAGTAAGTCATCTGGCACTAAGGACCAAGTATAAACGTTAACGTTTACTACATTTTTAAGCATTTTTCATTTATTTTTTAGCTTTTAATATCTAAGATATGCCTTCAAGGACAGCGATAATGATGGTCTAATGTGTGCTTTTCTGATTTATCCTTTTACATATTCTATTTACGTATAAATTTGAAACCACGACTTAGAGTTAAGACGTTGAATATATTTCGAAGTTTTTGGTAAAAACTTGAAATCTATGCCGGCGGATAGATTTGTACCAGATGTATACTAAATAATTAATTTTGAACCTATGACTAATACTGATGTTGAATATGTTTCTATGATTTTGATAAAAACTTAAAATACAGTCATTGGATATATTTGTATCAATTAGAAATCAAGTCAAGTGAATAGAAAAAAAAGAGTCAAGGGAATAGTATGGTATTTGATTAGTACAGTCAGTGTATATATAAATAGCTGAATTTAAATCAATAGTTAATAATTGATAGTGAACATTTCTTTTTAATAACAATTTACTTTATTTTCAGTGGACAGATTTGTATTGATATTTAGAAACTAAATCAAGTGACTAATAATTGATGTTATATTTTTTATTTTAATATTAATACAAAATTGGCCAAGAGGAGATAAGGTAGCAGCATATCACTAAATGCTCAATGACACTAAATCAAACAATTTTCAAGTTAGTGGATTACTCCATAATAGAGTGGTGAACAAAAAATAAAATATTACTCAATAAATGGAATAATATTTTTATTTTGTAACTATTATTTCATTTTACACTCTATTTTTGAATAAAATAAAATAAATTATAGAATAGGAATGAAAATATTCATCGACCGCAGATGAACAAAGAATCAATAAATTAATTAATTTAATATATAATTACATTCTTGGTGGAAAAAAATATGAATGAAAGATTTAACTATTAAACAATAGGAAATTTTATATTTCTTAAAAACTAAACTATTTAAATTTGAGATCTCTATTTATATTTTCATTTTCGCATAAAAATATTTAAAATAATTTAAACTATTTAACATTTTTGGTAAAAATTTAGGAATTCAAAAAAATAGTAAAATACAACAAGATTTAAATCTCATATGTTTTAGATATCTATCATTGTTTACTATTTTTTATTCAAGAGGCATAATGAAATGTTCATCAAAATTCTAAATCTAACAATAAAATAATTTAGTCGATTTTACAAATCAAATAAGATCAATTGAATTTGATTCTCATAAGAACACCATTTTTTTAAAATATGTAAAATCAAAAACACAAAATAAAAACATGCGATTCACAATAAAATAAAATCAGCAAAAGTTTCAAAAGAAAAATGACGAAGATATATAATATATATGAAAACAATGAAAACAATAATTTCATGAGAAAATTAAAAAATAACAACCTAAGTTATTATTTAGAATACAAAACACAGTAGTTAAAAATCTAAGAAAAACAAAACAAAATTTATTTATTAGTTTATCCGGTGTTTCACTTGGTAACCGGATTTTTAATTACCGGATATTTGTTAAAATTCAAACCGGATTACTTAGTGAATCACATGATTTGGCTGTCCGATCGTAGATCCGGGTCGGACGTAAAAACATTGTATTGCTGTTAGGAATGGGGAAATCCGAACTGAATCTGAACCAAAATATCTGATTCATACCATGTCCGAAATGTAAAAAAAAATATCCAAATGAATTTTGTAGGATGTTATAAAACATATCTGAACCTAAAGTATTATTAATCGAACACGAAAAACTCAAAAAACTAAAAATCCCAAATACATCCGAAGAAACCAATCCGAATATCCAAATAAATATATAATATAAATATTTGAAACATAAATATGTATTTCAAGATGTTCAATTTCATATTTATTTCGATATGATATCCAACAATAAGTATTTAAAATATAAATAAGGACATTAAATATTCAAATATATATAAATAAGTATATATTTTTTCTTCTTTTTTTTTTAACAAAAAATTAGATTTTACTTTGGATAAATCCGAACAGATTCGATATAACCCGCATCCGAACGATATAATTATGAGTTTAGGATGTACTACAAATTGGTCCGAAATCGATATAGTGTCCGATCCTTATCCATACTTACAAATTTATTAGTATTCAGCCTAATGCATGCTACAAAATAGAATTGGAAACTGAAAAATCCGATCTGAACCTAAAGATGTAGTTGAACACCCAGGCCTAGTTGAGGATAATTTCACTAAAGCTTTGTTTTTAACCTATATTCTGAATTGCGAAATGATTTTTAAAAAGAAAAAACACACATTTTTCAACATTTCTTCGTTGAAATCAAAACAAAGTTTCAAAATCATTATATATAACTTCTAAAAAAACTATTATAGAAATTGATATACACGATAAATCTAACATTAATTTGAGGATGATTTCACTAAAGCTTTATTTGTTAACAAATTTTTGACTTTGCTATTTTTCCATGGTCAAACTTTCTATTCAAAATTAGGTGTGACTATCTTTTCTTTATAGAAACTTTTATTTGCACATCACATTACAAAAATCAATGCATTTGTTGATATCCCGTGACAGTCAACAATTTAATACAATCATTCCATGTTTATACATTCTATAAAAACAATGATCAAAGTTTATTATGTCATGTGTTTGACCCTCGTTAGTTACCCTAATCATACTGATTTGTGGATCATTAATAATCTGATTACATTCTTGAATAGTATCGTTGGCCAAAATCCAAATAATGCCAAAACTTCAGACAAAATTTTTTTTTTGTCAAAAACTTCAGACAATTTAAGCTTTAGTTTTAAAAAATTAAATACCAATAAATTTAAAATCGCAGTAATTTTATATCTATATAAATTCGTTGAATTAATAATTATGTTAAAAATAATAATAAATAAATTATCTAAAACTAATTATATATATAACCTATATAAAAAGCTATTAAGGAATATAAAATCACTGTAACATTTATTTGGTTTAATCTATTATATTAATGACTATTATTTGACAGAAAATTAACGATTTAAAAATATCTAAAATTGATTAAAACATACTGTAGAACCTCAATTGTATTTTATTCTTTAAAATCGAACTATTAATAAATACTAATCATAAGGGTTGGTCTGAGATAGATTGTAAAATATCATTTATGGATTCGATTTCTGTTAGAAATTAAGTTGTTCGTTTTTTCTTGTAGAACATTGTTGGTTATTAGAAATTAAGTTGTTGGTGTCTGGCGAGACGAAGACATGCCTATGTTTTAAACTTCATTAAAACATTCAAAACTAAACTAACTGTCTTAACTGACTATATGAAAAATCAGCTACCTTTAGCACATATGTCCCTAGTTAACAAAAGAAAACGATTAATAAATTTTAAATCAGCATGATATTCTATGTAGTTTAGTTTGATATTATAATTAAATCTACTTGTTTGATGTTCTGATTATGTGGTGACATTACAAAACTGATATTAAATAATAGATTGGTTTAAATCTGATTCAGTTTGGTTATGTAAATTATTAATTTATTGATTTTATAAAAAAAATATTATATAGGAGAATATATTAGTGAAATAGAAAAGTTATAAAAAAAATCTCTTTGGGCTTCCCAAATGACAAAAGTTTGACCATATATTTTTTTTACCAAAATAAAATGGTTACTAGCTTTACTATATAAACAACATCTCTCCCTCTTATGCTACACACATCTCTTCTGTCTTCTTCTTTTCCTGCTAGCTTCCTCTGAATAAAACAGGTTTCTCCTTTACCGCTATTTGTAAAATTAAGTATCCATATATATATATTTTTAATTAATTTTTGTCTTGTTTCTTGACACCTCAGTGTTTTTCTCCAGGAGAAATGAATGGTCTTGATGGAAACTGCATAGGAATGACGACGTGTTGGGCTCCACCGTCTAGTCCCAGCCCTAGAACGCTACTAGATTTGCTGAATCAAGCTGACAACAGTGGTGGTGTGGATTCGATAAGCAAGATCTTCCCTCAAACTAATCATCAGTCTGAACAAAGATCCAGTCTCGGCGAGAGAGTAGCGGCAAGAACTGAATTCAATCTTCCACCGCTCGAGACACAGAACAACCGTCCATTTGCTGCTTTCTTCAGGAACCCGTCGACCACCCACCCTTCTCCTCACGTCCTAATCTCTCCAGGATTCAGCCCATCTGCTATGTTGCAATTTCCAAACATGTTCTTTGATCCTTCACACGTAAGTAATAATGTTTATGATGGTTTCATGATACGCGCATGATTTGTAGTCATATAATGAATATGAGGTTGGACAAAATATACAGGAATATTATTATATATGATATTTTAAAACAATATATATATAGGTATAAAAAGTAGATTTTATTTATATATAGTATAGAATCTGTCATTTTCTTTTTGTTCACGTTTTGAATACTCTATTTGTTCACAATTTCAGAAGAGCATGTACATTAATAAACATAGGGGAGAAGTTCACAGTTTTTTTTTTGTTTTTTTTTCATTTTTTTCGTTTGAGATTTTTTTTTTTTAAAATAATAAAATAATAAGTGGATCAATTGCGGGTGGACATGTGATGTGGAGTCTGCGAAATAATCATGAACCGGGCCACTACACTGACCTTTTGCAAGGCTAGTTCATGCAGATTCAATATTTATAATGTTTTTATTTTTTTGGATACGTGAAAACTCTCCTAAAAGCTTATTGATGTATATGCTCTAACAATTTTTTTATTAGCTGACTTTCACCGCCGAATACGAAGTTATGTGTGAATGATCAAACTATACTTTGTTAGATTTAACGTGTAATCGTTCTTAAACATATTCCAGATGATCCCTCCGCCTCCAATCGTCAATGGCGGGTCTCCAGAGGCGGTGGAAAGTTCTGGTGCCGACCATGCAACAACGCTGATATCCTACAACAATCCGATGCACTTTGCCCTGCCTCCTCAACAAGGTAATAGAGTTGCTTCTGTCTCAAGTTTGCTTCCATTTGGATTTTCCTAGTATTTTTTTTTTTACATACTCTGATGATATTCCAAAGACGCCATTTATATCCCTTCTTATGTTGATTCCATTGATGCTCTCCTTTAGTCGCTTCTTCTGAATCTGATCCAGTCGCTAACGAAACCGACCTCGTCACCGCAAAAATCGAGAGGGAGAGCGAGGACGACGAGGAATTCAAGGAAGATGAAGACGAATATCAAAACATTGTTGATGAGCTAGATGGTGAACCTTCATCTCCAAAGAGAAGGTCCCAAGATAACATCAGTATATAATAATACTACGCTTAACATATTGATTAAAATAACCTAACCCACATAATTCTTTTGTAGGAAGCTTGAAGGATCAACCATGATTGGAGCCACAAGATCCTGCAAGAGCCAAAGAGTTATCATTCAATTGGAATGCGAAGAAAACAATCCTGACGATGGTTTTCGCTGGAGAAAATATGGTCAGAAAGTTGTCCACGGGAATCCAAATCCAAGGTTTGTTTCTTTCGCCATCTTTTTTATTTTCTCTTTTGTTCTAATTAGTTGGTTCATATGTTAGTTTTTTGTATTTTTATTTTGGTGCAGGAGCTACTACAAATGCACAAACACTGCGTGCACTGTGAAGAAGCATGTGGAGAGAGGAGCAGAAAATGTCAAGTTTCTGTTGGTTACATACGATGGGATACACGAGCACGATCCACCAGCTGCACGCGGTAGCACTTCCGGTCAAAAGAGCCAGGACGGTTCATCAACGTCTCAAGATCATAACAATCACCGAACCGTGCGTTTAGGCAGGCCACCTTCTTCCTCTTCGGCCTCTCAAGCCCTGAGGCTTTTCCCTTGTTCGTTGGACCCACCAATGGATATGACACCGTTCTATATAACCGGATTCGCTAAGCTGCCGAGTTTACCGGTTAACCAGAACCATACTGAACCGAAGATTGAACGTGTGATACCAGACGGTACAGAGGTATTCAAAGTGATCAGAGATCGACTTAACCTCAACTTTGGTCTCAGCCTTTAGATCGGAAACCCCTTTGATGTCACCCTTTTTTCTATTCTAGCCCGTAGTGGTATACAATAATAAAATAAGATTTCCAAAAAAACTTGTGTTCATCAGCTTTATTATAATTGTTAATGCATTTTACTTTTGGAGTTTGGCTATTTATTTCTATTATTTAGAGATGCTTATATTAATAAATGGAACCAATCTTTCTAAAAAATACTGGAATGCTATAATATTCCAAATTATAAGAAATATTAAAGACGATTTTACAGCTGGTAATTCTACCTACTTTTGGAATCATGTCCGGTTTCAGCTTTATGAGCTGCACTATTGGATCCACGCTTGATGTTACTCTTTGCTTCATGCTATAGATTATTATAAGTTTTTTCTTTCTATTAATTGCAAAATCTCGTTTTTGCTGGGACTCGAGACCCAAATCTCTTAGTGTAAAAGAATTAATCAACCAATTGATTTAGGGGGCTATCACAATGGAACCAATCCTAGCCAAAGTAAAAAGGAACGAAAAAATATTATTTTTCGAATTGAACTTAATTTAAAAAAAAAACTCAATCCGAACTAAAATTTAAAAGAAACTCAAATCTCACTAAACCAAAGTAAGTGTGAGAACATTTTTGATTGGAACTCAACTGAAAATTGGCACAGACTTAGGTGCTGTACTGCACTAAGAGTTACCGATTTATGTTATAATAACTATTCTTCATCTTCTATATATTAAAAAAAAAACATTTGTAGTAAATGTGTTCACACACTATTTAACAGTCACTTAAAAATTAGAATGTTGACATGGCAACCTCACAATCATTTAAAATTTAATGTGTTCAGAGCACCTCTAATGAGGGTTGTAGCATTGAGGTTCTCAAAATACATATATGTGCATATATATATTATTATTATTATTATTATTATTATTATTATTATTATTATTATTATTATTATTTAATTGTGAGGTTCTTAAATTTATGGAAAACTCAATCCAAAGTGTTTTTTAGGCCTTGTTAGGAATGACGCTAGGCGCATCGAACGGCTGGGTCAGGTCTAGCACCTAGCGAGAAATTCAGAGATTAAACAGGAATTACGCGGAGCAGAGTTTTAGATTGTTTAATATGTTATAAAACATGTTAATTTTTTTTATTTTTTATAAAATTAATATTTTTTTCATATTTTTCTGAATTATACAGAGGTATCCTGGCCCCACAGAAGTGATCCAGACTAGTCACGTGTTGCCACGTGTCGGTCTTCTGTCCCTAGCGATGCCAAAATGTTAATTCCCTAGTGGTTGGGATTCGAACCCAGATGGCAGTACTCACATCTGTAAACCCTTTACCACTAGAGATAGAAGCCCCGATTTCCATTGTAAAATTGTATAAACACACAAATACAAAAATGTAAACGTAATGCGGCATAATTTTCATTAAAATTATGAAAATAAGTTACAATATAATATTTTAGATCAATAAATAAAAATCAATTATAACTAAAAAATAAATTAGGCGGCCACATAGACAGCCATTTAGGCGGCTAGACGGTCATTCAGGCGGTCTAGACAGACTAATATCGTTCTTCCGATTTTTAGATCAATTTGGCATAAATCGGGGAAGATGAGCGCTAGGCCCCCGATTTTTAGAACATGAGTTTTGGGATACTCTAGATTGAGTTTCCGTAAAGTTAAGAACCTATTAGTATTAATATATACATACACATATATTTATTTTGTGAACCTCAGAGCTAGAACTCTCCGTTAGGGGTGCTCTCACATACTAATTTCTCGACTCCAGTGCATACAATTTCATGTGTTCTCATAATTTTCTTAATCAACTTAGTTTTAGTTTCTGCATTTTTAACATTTCTATTAGTGAAATGAAGTTATCCCCGTGCAACTAGTGAATAATACTATTGTGGAAAGAAATAAATTACAAAATCATAAATATTTACATCAACTAAAATGATGGAATAAAAAGATTTTTAGAAATTTAAAGGTTTTTACATTTCCAAACTTGATCATGGTTGAGGCTTATGTACACAAAGGAAATCAAATAATTGTGATTGGTTCTTAATTGTGCTTGGTTATGAAAGTATCACAACGCAAAGCGGGATCTTTGGTTTAGCCAATTATTATTTTCCTTTGCAGAGTTTTCTTATCATACCAAAAGTTAGAAACATAATCATCTCTCTGGTTGAAAAAATCAGGAATCCGGAAAACTTTAAAAGGAAAAAAAAATCGCAAAATCGTTTGAAAAACATAGTTCAGGTGCCGAGTGAGAGATCACATCCCTAACCCCCTTTCACTAGATTGTATCATATTTTCTGATACTTACCAATAATTGTTTACAAGAAATTACATGTTATTGATTATACACTGCCACCAATTACATACTTAAATATATTTGTTAGTTTAAATTTTATATCTATTCAATATTCAAAAATATGCAAATATCTAAAAACTATCAAAATAGTCACCTGTAAATACCCAAAATATCAAAAAATCTTCAAAATACTGAAAATATCTATTTGTTCTCTATCCAAATATTGTAGTTTGAATAATTTTATGTGAATTTAAGTATTTAGTCTTATATTATTCAATTTTTTTTTTATGTTTTCAGTTATATTATTTTCGGATTTTGCGGACTTAAATATATTTTGATTTTTGCTAAAAAAAATACATAATATCAGTGGGTATCTAACTCACATTCGAATAGAACCCACAATGATTTAAACCAAATTCAAACCAAATCTAAATTTGTAAAGACTTATTTTTGGGTTCACCAACCAATAGGGTGGTGTTATTTCATATTTGATATCTTTTGAAAAAGGAAACAAATTTTTGTCAAGTTATATTATGTTTTTAAAACAAAAATAGAAAAAAGAAAAAAATATTAATATTTACGAAAAACGAAAAAAATCTTTAAAAAAAATATGTTAACATATTATGTTTTAAAATAAAAGATAAAATAAAATAAAAACAGTAATAATTGCAAAAAAAGAACAATTTAAAACAAAAAATCTTTTAATATATCTTTAAAATAAAAAATGTGTTTAAAATAAAAAGATAAAAGTAAATAAAAAATAGTATAATTGATTAGTATTAATTTACCCAAGGGTTAAGATTTTTCCAAAGGGTTTATGCTTTACCCAAGGGTTTAGGGTTTAGGGTTTAGTATTAGGGTTTAGGGTTTAGGATTAGAGTTTAGGGTTTAGTGTTACATATTTTTTTAAAAAAAAAATTTTTGGTTTTTTTAATATTATTATTTTTTATTTATTTTTTGTATTTTTATTTTAAAAATATAATATAATTTAACAAGTTTTTATTTCCTTTTAAAAAGATATAAAATATAAAATAATACCTTCATAATAGTTGGTGAACCTAAGAATAACTCATTTGTAAATATCTAAATCGGATATATTTTCTAGCTCTAAAAATTGAAAAACTGAATAGATTTACTGAATACGAACGAATATCTGAATGTCTATCCCCTAAAAACATTATACAACAAATTCTTTAACACAACGTAAAATAAATAATTGAATCAACGATTAGTCTATTTCACTGCACTGACGGCATAATATGGGGATAAGCAGTTAAAGAGCACAACACGAGTTGTTTTTTTTAAAACCGTTTGTGAGTAACCCGAACAAGTGGGTAAGGATATGACCAACTCTGCGCCCAAACATGCATTGTCTTATCTTGTCAACGGCGCAGAAGATTGATGAAGAACTGAGTTTGATTGAATTGAATCAAGCCACATTGTCAAAACTAGCGCTTTTTAAGTACAAATTTTCATCTTTATCTTAACCATATTTATCTTTGATTTTAAAGAGGCAAATAGATATTTATAACTCTAGAATTAACTAATCTAGGCTTGAGATTTAGATTTAAGAGAAGAGATTTTGGAGGGTAGGGTGTAGAATTTTAATAAAAAAAAAAATTTAAATTCAAATAAATAATACTAAAATAAGGTCCAAATGAAGTTTTCGAATTTTGAAAAAAAATCAAAAAAATGTATACAGAAGTTCAAATTTGAAAAGAAAATTTCAAAAACTTAAAAAATATAATATTATTTTATTTAATTATTTAAATAATTATTTATATTTATAAATTAGGTTGCATGGAAACTTCGTCATATGTCTGCTTCCCGTTTTGGAACCAGAATCAGAAACGGAAGCTTGTGGAATCTTTCGGAATCTCGATTCCATTGCGTTTCCAATTTTTTTTTTAAATACATTGGAAGCTTGCGTTTACATTTTGGAATCACGTTTCCGTTTTATAAGATTCAATGTCATAAGTAAATAAAAATATAAGAAACATTATTTTTGTTTGTATATAGTAGTGAAATAGAGAATAAAAATATACAAATACTAAAATTAATATTATAAATTATCTTTATACACTGAGGATTTATTAAAGATATATCGTATATATTCAAATAGATTGTGTTAATTATTTACGAAATATTAAAAATAATTAGTATAACAATATCTTATAAACTTGATTTATGTATATTTTCACGGTTTTAACATAAAATCATTTAAAATTATTATAATTGAATAAATGTTTTATTTTAAATTTGACTCTAATAGTTTCTAGTCATATTTGTAATTTTTTATATTTTAATATGTGTATATATATACATATATAAATATACGCTTCCAACACGTTTCTGCTTCCTATTTTTTTTTAAAAAATCTCGCTTCTACGCTTTCATACGATTCCGCTTCCGTTTCCATGTAAAATAGTTTATAAATCAATGGCATAAATGTATTTGTATAACAAAATGAAAATTTTTAAAACCCCAGCCTTATATAAAATAATGATATTTTATTACAAAATATATAAAAATTATTTACTTTTCAAAGGTAGAATAACTAAATTAATAAAGTTATTAAATAAAATTATATAAAATCTCTTTAAAATATAATAATAATATAGTTCTTTATATATATATATATATGTGTGTGTGTGTGTGTGTGTATAATGGATCGGATTTGATATTTGTTCCTAG